TGAACATTTCAGAATCTTGCAAGAAAAATATCCAAACAATACTCAGAATTTGATAGATTATGCAATAATCAGCTACAATAACCCAATACATCGTTCACCAAGTTTTACACCTTTCGAATTCACCTTTTGACATACAAAACCCCGAAATCCCGAAGAAATATTTTGACCCGCAAGTTTTTTCTCTGATTACGCAGAGAATCACAAACAAAAATTAGAACACCTAGTAATAAGATTAGGTATAAGAACGAATTTCACAATTCGTACAATCCCATTAATAATTTAGAAGAAAAAATGTATACCCAAATTAAACAATTAAATCCTTTAGATCATAAAAAGAAAAGACGTGGACTCACGGAGAAAAATGTATGTTAAAGGTAATTAAAAATATAATAATAGTTATCAAAAAATATAATACCTACGTATAGGGATAGCTATGAAGAATTATAAAATTTATCATATACATATTGTTGCAAGTGTATAGCTAGTTTTACTATATATTGTTTTAACTCATACAGAAAAACTGTATGTAACGGCAACCATCTCATATGCATGCTTTTGTAATACGGGAGTAGTTGAATTAACATCTCCGCTTTGTATTAATAAGTAACTTAGATTATTGCAACTAAACCCTGCCAAAAATCGCGACAATTTTTTTTTCGGGGCTCAAAAAAAGGCAGTGTATAACCTTCCTTTTTTACCAAAAATCGACTGCACCAAAATTTCTCAGGAAAAAACTTTTTCTTATTAATTTGGGTGCGTAGAATTCAAAACGATTCGTACTTTTTCGATTAGATGTCTCAATCAAAAGTTATGGGCCAATTTCGACAAAAAATTCAAAGGGCTGTAACTTTTGATCTAGTAGTCCGATCTTGGAACTGTTTGAAATTATGGATTCTACAGGCCACATTCTATAAGAAAATTGTTTTCCGGGTCGATCTGAGACAATTTTTTTTTCGGGGCTCAAAAAAAGGCGGTGTCCTTTTTTACCAAAAATCGACTGCACCAAAATTTCTCGGGAAAACACTTTTTCTTATTAATTTTGGTGCGTAGAATCCACAACAATTCGTACTTTTTCGATCAGAGTTCTCAATCAAAAGTTATACACTAGAAACCAATAACTAGTAGCCCAATCTTGGAATCTTGGAGACCCTAAATATTGATAGATTCCCACTTCCGGTTGGAGATAATTTCACTTCCGGTCATGTTTTACGCCAATTGCAGATCCAGTCGTAACACAAATATGTATACTAACTCCTATCTCGTTATTTCCGACAATGGGCGACATTTTCAACAAAGCTGCATTACTTCCGGTTACTTTAATTGTCACTTCCGGCCAGGTTTAATATCAATTTGTAGATCTCATCATTTCAAACAGTTTTTATAAGAATACTACTCTTGTTATCTCCAACGATAGAGGCGCTATAGTGCGTTTTCTAGGTATAAGTACGTATTACTCCCAGTTTATCACTTCCGGTAGAGTCCCCACGGAAAAATGTTAGGTGGCTCCATATCTGGAATTATATTATTAATATAATAATTAATTATTATTAATATTATTATTAATATTAATTAATTGGAATACAGATAGGGAATGCAATACCGGGATCGCGGGATCTCGAAATACCGGGATCCCGCAGTCTTTTTGCGGGATTAATCCCGTACGTAAATGGAGCGGGATTTGCAGGATTGCAGAATTTATCGACCAAGCTTACCCCCATACATTAGCTCTGCGAATTTGATTATTTCGCACATTTTTGTTGTTGCAGTTCATGCAATAATTACGCGCAAACCCGTATCTGTTATTAACTTTGTTAAACAGCGAGTGAGTGCGCAAATCGGACTTATTTTATTAGTGTTTTAAAACGCATAAACTGTTATTTGATTCTTGTAGACAATATGTCGGACTCGTCGATTGTTTAAAAAGACTTAGTAGTAAAGTGTCTGTATGGAATTTTGCAGAAAAGACGGCAGATGTGATGCATTCTTTCCGCAAAATACAATGTGTTTTCTTGAGAATATTCTGTTAACTGAACAAAATTGCTTATTTCCGAATGTTTTTAAAATTTCGCGGGATCCCGCAAATACCGGGATCCAGCGAGATTACTATCTAATGATCCCGAAAATACCGGGATTGAAATTTTGCTGCGGGATTGCAATCCCTAAATACAGATTATATTGCTTCGGTGCGATGTATTCAACTGAAGAAAAAGTTGATATTGTCAACTGGGTGTAGTGCCGGTAATAGTTGAAGGAGCGTATGAGACTTATTTTCTGTGTTAATGATTTTAAAATTTGTGGTTATTGCAAACCATGCAAACCACATATAAGACGCCGTAAACAACCCTTGCAATTTTAACGGAGGATATGAAACTGAAGGTTTGAATTTTTTTACTTATTCAATGATACTATTTATACTGTCGCTTTTATTAAAATCTAGAATAACAATGCAAAATGCGTGCGCATGTTATTTCGGTTGCATAAAATTAGGCGTCTTTCAGAAGGATTTTAGTCATTCCCTATGTCTACTTCTAAATGAATAAAACTATAGATTTATCAAAGAACGCAGCCTCGTCCCAACACGCACTCACAGACTTACTCGTCAAAGACCCATACAGACGTAACGACAAATCGAGTGGACACACCAACTCACTCAACCATTCGAACGCTGCAAAAACGAGTTAGTAAATGCTTGCTTACTTGCTCTCCCTATAAAGACGACGATTCACTACTAGTTTTGTAACAATTGGAGTTGGTAGTCGAGCAATAAATCATCGGCGCAGCTACACACCCCTTGGATTTCTTCTTCAAGAAACAAAGAATCTAACCATAACACGTTCGCCAGGGAATTGTTAGTCGTTTACGCCGCAGTCAAAGACTTCACGTATTTCTGAGAAAGTCGACTTTCCACTATCCTCACCGATTACAGCCCCTTAACGTTCGCCTTAGTTTATAGAAGACCAACAGTTCGTCAATGTCGACAATAAAATTAAGCTACATAGCGCAGTTCACCACCAATATTTGTCACATATATCGGGAAAAGAAAACCTCGTAGCCTAATACTCTTTCGAGAATTCAATCCAAAACTCCAACCGCCATCGATTAAGAAGAATTCTCTCGCCAGCAACAAAGGAAAAAATAGAGAGATTCTTGAATTAATCGAACAAGTTTTCTCCGCCCGGATTTCCCGACGACGAAATTCAGATAACTCTGCTTTTGCACCCGCATCTCTTGTCTCGGCGCAACACTCCGCCTGCCGGGAGAATGTTATTATTTGCCAGCAGCCCGCATCCTTCGGATACAACTGAGTTTGCTAAGACACTCAGATCCTCCGAAGATTTCTGGCTGTCGCCGGCAAAAAAACAAAGAACGCCAAGAAATTTCGCCCATCCGGAGGCGGCATACATGCTAACGTTTTTGTGTAAAAAGAAGGCCGAAAGTGACTGCAACCCTTATACACAGGACGGTTGACGGTAATTATAAGGCACGACAAACCCTTTGTCATATACCTAAACGGCCACAATAATAGTATCTTGTCGATCGGCTGAAGCCAGCATTCACCGCAAATTGTGAAATCCAGCGGTCCGCTTCGCTCCAGCTACCAGTGCTTGCCGAGGAAATCAAAGAACCAGGTCCGTACCGCGTACAACACGTACATTTTCACAAAAAGATTGCCAACTTCCATGCCGCTGCGCTAGAGAGGGAGCAATGTGGCGGCGCGCACATGGTCAAAACGGCCAACCGATGAGTGCTTAAAGCCGTCTCTGCTAAGGTAATTCCTGCTTCGACGGCGCTCCAAGAAACTCTCCGCTTGCAAAACCAGTTCACTTTTCCAGCTCGACCTCGCGGCATGCTCCACCAGCCAAGAAGACTCACATCTGCCCTCACTCAGACGACAGCGCTTGCCGCGTGCATTTCGGCTACCATTTTGTAAATATATTTCATAAAACGTACGCAACAGCATTTTATTTAATGTCGCCCACTAAAACATCATGGATAGTTCACTTGAAAATACCGCGTACTTACATCAGAAACGAAACCCAACACCTCCAAAATAAAAGATAGATTGAATTGTTACAAAATCAGAATGCCGTTATAGGTGATTAGGATGCACTTTTAAGTTTTCCTGGGAAACATTGGACTAATGAACGGGTGGATGCCGAGCAGGAAAAGAGAATGGCACAATCATATAAACAGAATGACAGATGATAGAGTAGTCAAGATAGCAAGAAATAAATCTCAATTAGGGCGGTGAACCGTGGGCCGGCCCTAATATAACATATGAAAGCACAAACCAAAGGAGAAAGGGGCAGAATTGCCTAATAAGAAAAAATGTTTGTAAATAGAGTAAGATTGTTCAGAGGTTTCAATAGGATTATTGCCATTATATCCCCAATGTAAGCAACAAACTAAGCATCAAGTAATTTTGTCAATTTTGAAAATGATGTTGAAATCCCTCTACTATTTTTGCAACATTTTTTTAAGTAAATACCTTTGTAGTAATAAATCTAGAAATTCAATAGGATTCAATGGTTTCCAATAATATAACTCCATCCTAACATAACATTGTAGTCAAAATTTGTCAATGTGCTTTTGTTTTGTCTACAATTAAGAGAATGACGAGAGTTCCCGCTTTAGGATCTTCTTGCAGATTGTATTCAGTATGACTAATGGAAACAGTTCTGTGTTCTACTTTAAAAAAACTCCGGGTTTTTATAAACTAAATTACATTTTGTTGCAAATACAGAAATATTAAATAACAACCAACGATGATTGATTGATTGATGAAAGACATGTCCCAATTCATAAAAATTTCACAATGAAATAACCACTAGGAAAATATCGTATACTGTATTGGAAGCTGAATTGGTTTGGTTACAAAAACGCTCTTGATCAGAAAACTATGAAGAATATCGAAAGCAAAACCAAAAGGACTTCAACAAAAGTAAATATATTCATAAGAAAGTTCAAAGAGTATAATTTATTAGAAAGCAATAGTGGTGTTAACGTCATAACTTAATATTTATTGAATAAATAGAATACATTCAAAAGCTGTACTCAATAAAAACGGGATTTCAAAAAAATCATCAATAAGCTTGCAGAACGTAGCTACCCTTAACTGCAGTACTAATTACATTAATGAGAACAATTAGAATACTTCATATCGTATCTATACAGCTTCATGCAACATAGGATACATTAAAAATAAAAATGTGTTAACGTTAGTTAAAAAATATTTAAAAAAATTATAAATAACGAAATTATAATCATCTGTTACATCGAGATATAATAAACTCTTTATATCATCAGTATGATAATAATCCATAATTTCGTACATATACATATATCTAGCTTACATTCTTAATTTAAACGTTGCGATGCTGGCAGTCTTTTCTTCCCTCTTCTTTGCGTCGACAACCAATGTTCATAGTGCCTTTCGTTTGCTAACCAATCTTGGTATTTGTACCACCATTCCTCCCATTTCACGTAGTCATCCAACGATAGATCTCTTAAGTACCCTAAATCTTTGTAGTACTGATAACGAACACGAACATCGTCCCACGATGCCAAACCTGACGGACCAGCAGATAAAAGTTCATCGGGATAATGTCCTGGTGGAACGGGCGAGTGACTAGAAAAGGACATTTAGAAAATGTGTAATTAACATCTATAAACAAAGAATTACAAAAAACAATTAATGCTTTGGAAAAATTTGCGATCTTTTCAGTATTGTTGTCAAATCTGTGCAATGTTTCTCTCTAATAAAGTTTTTGATTATTCTACAGTGTCAACTAAATTTGCGACGCCCCCTTGTGGACCAAATTTTGTTTGCGCAGGAACCTTCTCAGGTTGGAACAATTGATTAGTATTTGTATTTGACAGAAACTGGTTTCCATACAGAGCCGCCTAACCTAGCCCACTCTGTATAGGGTACTCTCAAAAATTCAAGCCCATTCAGAGTTTACATTCTGAAATGAACGTATACCAGTCTTACCAATTTTCTAAACCAAGCGCTGAGAGTATGAAATATGAAAAAAATGAAAATATTACGTGGCACAATTAAAAAAAATAATGTTCTCTTATAACTAATTACCTGTAACGACGAGGAGGACTACCATATAGAAAATCGTCTTCCTCAATCATGACTTTCAAGTCGCCTCCACTAGAATTCTTCGTTATACGCATATTTTCGATGTCTCTGCGTTCTCTATCGATACTCCATTGCGCCATCTTACCAAAACGCTCTGAAAGAGACAAACGAGTAGTTGCCACAATGGGCGATAAGGAGGATGTGGAACTATCTTCTGATCCAGATGAATCCGGAGATCCGGGACGTTTCTTTGTGCGTTCCTTTTTGATCCGTGTCAGTAATACCTGTATAACAAATTCAGTTAAAGTTTTCATCAAGACAAACGTACGGGTTCTGTAAATTTTTCCTTTTTACGGATGGTCTTCTTCACTGCTGCGGGCGGTGCGATACTGCCTAGATTGATAACCTTGCCAGATGGATTACGTGGCCTGGGGGGTGGCGGTTGACGGCGTGGATCCGTGGGCTTATCGGAAATCAGTCCTTTCACTGGTCGTCTGACTGGAGGTGGTGTCATTGGTCTCGGAACGCGACGCGGAATCGGTGACGGCGACGGAGGACGAGGACGCGCACGAATTTTGGGGGAACCGTGTTTCACGTGCGGTTTTCGCGATCGCGATACCGATAACGAACGAGACCTAAAAGAGAACTGATTGTAGGCTCACATTTATTGGTAAACACATGTAAATAATCGCTCATTACAGTGCTGTGATATGAACTTTTATCCATAACACGCATAAAAAATGTACCATAGTCAAATTATGAAAAAAATTTGACAAGCATCTAAAACAATTCACTTTCTGGTACAGTTACACAGGAAAATAAATGCAAATAAAAATCGATCACTACAAATAAACAAAAACAAGTTTAACAGACTAACTGCTCACAGGATGATCCACAAGGACCTTTGGTTAGCCGTATTTAGGGAACCACTTAAGCTATTTATTTAAAGCGGAATCTTTGTTACGTTTACATTTGAAAATAAACGAAAATAATACATTATTTTTCGTCATAGCATAGGTAGTTTCCTCAAGAAACCCAAATATTATGAAAAAAAAACTAGATGTGTTTAACCCGCATTTTAAAAAATAAGGAAGGGGGCTGATCTCGTTATAACAAATGGTAGAGGAGCCACTAGTAATCAGTAAATTAAGAAAGGGACGCAGTGGCGGATTTAGGGGGAGTACTAGGGGCAGTTAAGTGGGTTAATTGGAGGAACACCTGGTGGCGATGTTGCCCCTAGGTGAACTTCGCCCTTTGGCGCCCAGTGGCGTAGTAAAAAAAATTTTTTTACTCACCGTTTCCGAGATTGAAATCAAAGTTGGTATATATTTTTTAAATGCAACACACTGTCTATCTTAAAAGTAAATTTATTTGCATAATTTTTCCTGATATTTTTTTTTATATTTTAGCCATGAACCAAAAAGAAAAACCTTATTTTTTATGGTTGATAAACAGTAGGCCATGGATTTATGGAGATTTTGTTTTGTTAATTGTATCCATGGCAGCCTATACCAATCAATAAAAATGGCTGACGGTAGAAACATGGAATTTAAAAATTTAAAAAAATATGCTATAACATACAGGGTGATTCCTATAGTACCTGCCACCGTTTGGGAGCGTATAGGGGGTGCCTAGGGGAGTATTTTGATATAGGACACTTGGGGTCGGAAATCTAAAATAAGAGCGCCAGAACCAAATTTATCTTCTGGAATTTCACGCCTGTATGTAGGCAACCCAACCGACCGACGTTTCGCGCGGAGCGATGCAGAGCGAGTTAGCGCGAGGAAGCGACATGGGAGGGAAGGAGGGAAAACGACAGTTAGCGCGAGGAAGCGACATGGGAGGGAAGGAGGGAAAACGACAGTCAAAAGCAATAACGTTTACAAGTGTTCAACGTGGCCACCGTTGTTCTCAATGCACTTCCTACATCTAGCCAACTATTATTATACTATTGCCATAGTGTTTATTCACTTGATACGCGTCGTTGCAGACGGGATTTCGTGGGTTTAAACAAAATTCTGATCAAGTGTCAGCCACACATCGCCGCCTGAGATCGCTCCGTGTGCACCGCCGGCCGGTTGGGTTGCCTACCTACAGGCGCGAAATTCCAGAAGTTAAATTTGGCTCTGGCACCCTTATTTTAGATTTCCGACCCCAAGTGTCCTATATCAAAATACTCCCCTACGCACCACCTACACGCTCCCAAACGGTGGCAGGT